TTTTTGCTCACCCCTATCTGTAAAGCCAGTAAAAGTTATTATTATTTTATATTGTAAAAATTAATTACTAAAATAACGTTACCCTTGAATTATTTTAAAGTAAAAAAGCATGATAAAAGCAGCTTACATCAAGAAAAGCAGTTGATTGGGAATTGAATAGAGCTGATGTGGACCACACTAACATTGTACTGAATCAGGGACCATAACAAAAAGTGCTCAAAAAGCTCAAATTCAGATTTCAGATCACAGCTCGAGTGATTGTATAGAGCAGTAATTTTTGTATGGATTATATTTACAGAGAAAAATCTGAATTTAAAAGCAAAAAATCAACATTAAAAAAAGGAAAAGGAAAAGGAGGATCCAGAAATAGTAACAGGCTGTGAGATGGTAGGTGTGGTCCAGTAGTTAACATGGAATTTGGGACCAACGCCAACCCTACCAACTTGCAACACAAAGCCCCAAAAGGCACGTATGTATTTAAGTGTTTACAGCTCGGGGGGAATACGATTTTGACAATTGTCATGGCGCTATCAGACTATTAGGGGAAAAGAGAAGAAATAAAAAATGGGAACAAGTTCATTGTCAGTCCCTTAACTTTGAATGAAAATAGAGTCTGGTACTTTAGCTTTTGTTTTCTATAATCAAGTTCATTTAGGCTTAGAAATTGATTTAAGGTGCATTTGGGATTATGGTTGGGAGTTTTTTCAGGTAGCCACATAGTATTTTTAAATATATATGTGTTTGATAATTTTTTAAAATTATTTTTTTTTAAATTGTAAAAAGTCACAACATATCTACAATAATTTTATATATAAAACCAAAAATTTCATTTTAAAGCTTTATAACTGTGACTTTTACGGAGAACAGTTAATATTTAATATAATTACAAAATTAGCCATTAAAACTTAATTTTATATAATTTAATTATATCATAATTTAGAATAATTTAATAATTAAAAAATTTTAAAAACCTAAATTATTAAAAAATAATAAATATTATATATTTTAATAATGATATATATTACAATATTTTTTAAATTTTAATTAATAATTAATAAAATATATCATATTTCATCTATAATATTTTTAAAAAATAAATAACCAAATACCAAAATAACTTTCAACCGCAGTTACAATATAGTTACAACACTTCACAGCAATTCCAAACGCACCCTTAATCTATGCATTAATAGCGGTAACGATCTCTTTTAAATGTAGACTACTACTGATTCAAAATTATTGACTGAAATTATATCAGAAGAACTGAACAACAACCATCTTTTCCTACTCTTCCTTTTTACCACTCTTCCTTTTAATCAACGATTTGGATGTTTGAATAAAAATTAAGGAAACTAATTGCTAATTTTGATAATAAAGATATAAAATTTTAAGAGTAGTGTTAAGTACGTGAACTTGACATTTTGACGATGTTATTTAATTTTGAAGAAATAAAATATAAAAAAAATTCACTCCACACCAATCAAGTTAGTGCATGGACGCTTGGCCACCAAATTGTATGTAGCATTCCTCTAATTTAAAGTACTAAATTACCCTTTCTTAATTTAGGTTATGGTATTCTTGCATTTAATGATGTTAGCCAATTATTGAGGATAATTATGAAAAAAAAGTAATAATATGTGAATAATTTATTTATATAATTTTTATTTATAATTTTTATATGATATTAAATAAGTGGATATATACACTATTACATATTTTTATAGAATAAAAAGAACCAATTATTAATTGACATATAAGCTTGTAAGAAAATATTATACATAAAAGTTGTTTATAAATTGTTTTCTAAAAAAAATTGTGTTATATTATTTTTGGAGAATGGCAATCAAAGAGGAACAAAAAATTTCCCAAAAAGAAAATTAATTAAAAAGGAATGGAGGGAGTAGATCAAATCAATAAAACCTACTCCCTTCCACTACAATATCTTTCTTTTCTTAAAAAAAAAAAAAATTTTTGTTTCAAATTGATTTTAATTGTTTATACATTTTCAAATAAAAAAGTTTTATATAATTCAAATTGTACTGAACTGCATAATTTAAATTATTAAATGGGGTAGACTTTCTAATACTGAGAGATTTTCTCTCTATCTAATTAATATACTTATGTTGTAGTTTAATACAATTTAAATTTCAAAATAAAAAACTCTTTTTAAATTACATAATCTTTCATGCTTCTGCCGATAACAATTAAAGTTAGAATGAAAAATGTAAAAATCAATCACAACAATAATTTTCATTTTTAATCCATGTGCATAATGTCAAAGGACAGATACTGTAAGTTGGAGGGATGAATTACTCTACAAATGGAGTACATCGTGATAACGATTTCAAGCAAATCAGCACAAGAATATTTCCTCTACACAATGCGTGCAACAATGATATCTGTAAAGATGTAAAAATTCAAATCAAATAGTTAAAGGATGGTCAAAAAGATTTCCTTTACATAACGTAAATAAAAATCAAGAGCATCCATTGCATTTCTGTTAAAGTATGAGGAGCATTCAATTGAGAAAATAACCCAGGCCGAAAAGAAGAGAGAAATCGGTTCGCTTTGATATGTCGTGGGTTTGGGGAAATTTGTGGGGGCGAGGGGACCAAGAGGTGTCCTGAAGAGAACATGCTGTGTTGGCCTCAGACACATCCTTTATTTATCCCATTCCATTGTTTTAGCTGACACATTCACATTCACATTTAATCACAAAATATTTCTTCACGTTTTTCAAGCACCAATTGCATTCATCTAATTCCAATCAACGTTGTTGACCCAGTTCCTTCATTAAGATTTGAGATTCTGCCTCCCTTGGGATTGTTGATGTCTTCCTCTGTGATTTGTTGCATCTCATGGTAGTTTGTGGGATTTGGTAAGATAACATACTTATTTAGGGGATGGGCATATCGTATCCATAAATTGTTTTGATTCATGCTTGCTTTTATATTTTACCAAATTTACCAAAGTCTTAGTGGGTGATGGTTTGTTTATGCTTAAAAATTGTAATCGGGCAGCTAGAGCTTGATTCTAGCAAAAGGATCTTGGGTTGTGCATTTGACTATAATTAATCAGAGAATCACTTGATATGCAAGCTAAGGTGTCAGTCTTTCTAGGCCATTTAAAGGGGCCAAATTGTGAAATTCACTAGTAAAGATGAATGAACAATGATTTAAAGGATGCATGATTGTGAGTGGCACTTATAAGTCATGCGGTAGGGTGGTCTAAGTTTTAAGACCGAGTAAGGTCCCTAGAAAAGTACTTTGATGATGCGTAATTTGAATAAAGTTATATTTGATTTAACAGTTAAAATAAAGTTGATAATTAATATATATAGTTGTAAGTCGTTAATGGATGGCTAATAGCTATTAATAGTAGCATCTTAGGTTTATATATTTTGAGTATAATTCAATTGAGAAGAAATTGAGTATTTTTAAATCTTTTTTATTTAAGTGATTTCATGAATATATGGTAGTTAGAAAATAAATTGAAGCAAAGTGTGAAGGTGAAGTTTTAACACATGAGTAGTGCCCAAACAAAAATGGAAGTCAAAATCATAAGGTACAAAAGTAAACTTTACTTTATAAAAATCATTAAAAAAAATTTATAAAAAGGTGGTTAAAGGAACAACCGCTAATAATCCTTGATTATCATTTAAACTAGTTGTAGTAACAATTTTACATTAGACATAATGGCACAAAAGCAGTTATCATGTTAAGCTGGTTAGGCCAGAGGAGAAAGTGATTCCGGCCATGTTCAAACCCTTCATACTACAATCCGGCAATGGGATCCAGTTCCAATTTCCCTCTCTTTTGGCATAAGAAAGTCAAATTATGTCCCATAAACGCTCAAAATTAGACTCCAAAACGATCCTAATCACCCCATCTCTTTCCTCTAAGAACCCCATTATTGCCCCATAAGGTTTCTTGATGCCCTTCATCAGGTCACTAGGAACTTCTGAAATACACTCCCATTGACCCTTATTCAGGGTTAATCCCCACGGTTCTATCCTGCATAACATTTTCACGTTTCTTTTGACATTGTCAAAATTATTCGATCTTAGAATCATCATGTACCCATCACCACACACACATAGATGATCGCTTGTGCTTATATTTCCTCTGCTCCCATGGAACCTTGGCCGTAGAACAATTGGCAGATAGGATGTAGTTCGGACTGCGATTACAACACTCTCATAAGGTCTATTTATTACAGGAAGATACATAAAATCACTCTCTTCAAAAAAAAAACCAACACTTGTCAAGCCTCTATTGGTTTTTCTTGCCTCCTTGTCCTCCCATTTGTCAGTTTCCGAGCCGTACACAAACAAAACCGGACGGTCCTCTACCATCTCTGCAAACATGAGACGGAAATGACCCGACCCGGGTTCCCCGGATTGTACCGATTTCATCCTGGAATCGTCTCCACGAAGACGTGCCACGTGGACCTAGTGGACACGTGGGAATATTTTTAACCGTCATGTTTTTTTTTCAACATCTCAATTTGGGGAGGGAAAAAAAGAAAGGAAGAAGATTGAACCCTACACCTACACCTAAGGTAAGAGGCCTTTAACCAATATAACTATTTGAGCCACTCGGGCTTTTTTAACTGTCCTGTTAACCAAATTAACCGCCATAACTACCTTGCTTGTGTTACTGGCAAAGAAGAAAACATTGCCACTGGCCGTCAATAAGTAGAGATGTCGTCGTCCGCAGAAATCACTGGTCTCATTAGACTATCAACCGAGATGTTGAACGAGTGACCAGATTGATCTGAGAAGCCGTAAAGCATGGTGCAGCAACGCCACCGTTTCTTGTAGAGGAAAAGCCATGCGGCGGACTTGGATCGGAGGTTGCAGTGATGAATGAAGTTGCGGTCCGACATGAGACAGGCGAGGAATTTGTTGACCAATTTCAGGCGAATGATTTTCAGGCTGTGCTAAGGTGAGGAGAATGTTCTGTATGAGTTCCAGAGGAAGGAGGTAAAAACCAACAGAGTTGGAATACGAATCTCGACATTCATCCATGTGTCGAACAACCCTTGTTCTCTTATTCAGAGAGCTCAACTTGGTATCGTTTTATGAGTTACAAATATGATTAAATTATAATTAGTTTAAGATAAGTGAATAGAAGACAGACATTCTCCAAGGAATGATTGGAGTGGTACCACTTTATTCTATAAGTGAAAACACCATTGGAACATAGTGTTTGACTCTCAACTTCCTCTCCCCTTCTCCTACTAAAAATATGTAATAGTTGTAAGGCAAAACCATAAGTTAAGCCCCTCAAATAACCCCAGAATCGCTATTAAGCCCCT